ATCTAGATGCCCACCCGCTGAATTGGTCTGTTGTCCTTTGTGGACTGGCCACCTGATCACAACTCTTTTCTTCTTCCGCAGGGCTATCCTGGACCTGCCAGACAAGCTCCAGGGGCTCCCCAAGGCAGCTACCCTGGGGGCCAGTATGGAGGAGGAATGCCTCCCGGTGGCCCCTATGGTGGGTCAGCCCCTGGAGGTCCATACGGCCCACCATCTGGCGGAGGGCCTTATGGCCACCCTTCTTCTGGGGCTCCTCCCGGTGGCATGTATGGAGGAGGATCTGCACCAGGAGGGCCCTACGGCCAGCCCTCTACAAATCCATACGGTGCTCCACAGCCTGGAGCCTATGGGGCAGGAGGTCCTGGAGGTGAGTTCTGAAGTGCCTGGACCTGCCTTAGGTCTTCCTTTGGAGGGGGGCTGCTGCCTACTATCGCCGTGATTCAGGCAATACACTAATATCACCGTGATACACTACCAAGTTAGAGAACTTATAAGACTCAGATCTGTATAGCTCCAGCACGGATAAACTGTATCTCTTGGGCCTTTCTAGGCAGCCAGGGAAACTCATAATATTGCACAAATATTGGTGCCTGTGGGCCAGCAGTCCATCTGGTGGGCTAGCAGCAGTTTGCAACGCTGATTGGCTTGTATTGAGAATAATATGATTGCCTTTTAGTCATCCCGTTCTGTTCACATTTGGGTTTTATGGACTGCAGCCGCTCAAGTCTCCCATGCTGGCTGCATTATTCTGGAAATTGGAAGTTCAAACCTAGAACCTTTCCAGTGTCTGGTCCAATTTCCACCTTTCTGCATCAGGAACGTAGTCTCTAGGAGTCTCAAAACTTCGCAGGGTCTCCAGGCCTCACTTGGAACTCTTTGCAAAGGACTTGGAGGAAGCAGGCTGTTTGTCTTTTGTATACATCACTTAAAGGGCCTCTCAGCACACATCTGCAGCCCATAGCTCATGCTTCCTCGTGCCGAGGACTCGGAGAAGCAGGTGCTAATTGAATTATTCAACTCCATTTAGACCGGTGGTTTAGGATGGTGTCCTGGTTGCCTTATTTCAGGTCGCAAAGTGTGGGAGCTGACAGGCGACAGAAGCTGCCACCTGGAAGGGTAGAAATAAAACTTTACGGCCGTACATCTGTCTTCTCTAACTGGGGGACACTCACAACCTGCTGAAGCAGCACAATTTCCACATGCTGGCACTCAGCTTTATAGCTGATCAGTGCAAATCTTTATTTGCTTTCCTTTTTTCTTTTAAACACGTTGCTTCAGCCTCCTGCAACAGGATTGATCCCTCGACTGTTTAGAAGTGGGGGAAAGCTGTTTGGAAAACAGGAGCTGAACAGGATTGATCCCTCGACTGTTTAGAAGGGGGAGGGGGGGAAGCTGTTTGGAAAACAGGAGCTAACTCAGCCAAATGACAAGTGCCAGCTAAATACTTGATGTGAGGGGCAACAGACACAGGCCCTGCTTTATGAACGGCTTGATTGTTCTAACACATGTTTTGCCTTTTTCTCCCCAGCAGGTAACGTCCCTCCAGGGGTAGATCCAGAAGCCTTTGCCTGGTTCCAGAGCGTAGACACCGACCACAGCGGTTACATTTCAAACAAGGAACTCCGGCAGGCCCTTGTCAACTCCAACTGGTCGGCCTTCAATGATGAAACTTGCCTGATGATGATGAGTGAGTCCCCATTTGAGAGGGTTCATCTCAGACGTGCTGAAGGTTGAGGGTGTCAGAGGGGTTGGAGAGCTTGTTGGTTCCCACTCACAGTCTCTCGGGAAACTATATTTGGGGGTGACTACTCAGAGCCCACCAAGAACTAATGGAAGGAGGGAAACGTAATAAGAGATGGATTCGCTTGGTAAAGGAAGCCACGGTTTTGTCACTGCAGCTTTGCAAGAGAGGAGCAGGGGTCTTAACGATAGGACTTCTTGGAAGTGATTTGTTTATAAAGTGGCTGGAAATCAGAAGCAACTTGACCGCCCGTAAAAACAACATCTAGAGTCTGGAAAAGTTAGGGGGGCTTACTACGAATCCCAAAATCCCCCAATTAGCATGGGCACTTAACTGTGCCAGCCAGAGATTTTCTGTGCTTGTCCTCTAAAACCTAAATCCAGCTGGTAGCCCTTGGCCGAAGCAGACGTGTTGATTCAATCTTGATAAATATTGAATTAACACATGCTTGGCAACTGAATCAACACATCTGCTTCGGCCAAGGGATACCAGCTGGATTTAGGTTTTAGGCTAGGAGATCTGAAATCCCATTGCTGGAACCAGTTGTATTGGCTCCTGCCTTTCCATTGGACTATTTCAGATATGTGGAGAGGGGGAATTTGCTGCTTGGGTAACAGCCTATCCTCCATATTATTTTACCCAGGCTTTGTGCTCTGGAGAGGACACTGCAGCTTCGCATACAGCGTCAAAGTCCTCCATACAGAGCACGTTACCATAGTCTCTCGAGACTGAAGGATGCCTATGATGATGGCTAGCACAGTAAGTGCTGGTTATGGGATCCGTTCTAGTTAGCAGAACCAGTTGGGATTAGACTGAAGGATGCCTATGATGATGGCTAGCACAGTAAGTGCTGGTTATGGGATCCGTTCTAGTTAGCAGAACCAGTTGGGATTAAGACCTTAAAAATACCCTTTCCAGGCTCCTGATTTCCTAAGCTTAAAATAGGCCCGTGTTGTGATATTTCTGTAGAAAAGAATGTCATCTTTCTGTAAACATTCATAAATGAATATTTGGTCAGAGGGGAGGTTTCCCTCTTTACAATTTGCATTTCCTTTGAATGTTGGAATTGCATCACTCTTGTGTCATCATGACACACATTTGTGGTCTGTTTTTATGCTGTCTCAAGCAATCATGTATTATCAAGAGGAGCGGAAGCCTTAGAGTAGATTCCTGAGTTGGACAAATCACTTTTATTTTTAATTTCATTTCCCAGAATTCTCCAGCCAGCTTGGCTACTGGAGGAGTCTTAGATCTGTAATTTGGAAAATTAACTTTCCCATATTCTTAGTCATAGACTCACAGCTAATACCACAGGCTGGGAAGGGCACCATTCAGATTTCACCCCAGTGACCACGAAATCCACGGAGTCACCCAAATTAAGCGGCTTTCAGTCTCCCTGCCACCTTTCCCCAAAAATATCCAGTCGGGAAAAGAAACTATCCTGTTACAAGCACTAGCACGTACAGTAATGGATGCATCAGACAATTGAAATGAGCTGTATAAATGCTAGGGATGATAATTATGATTTAATTTTGCTTGACGTTCATATTCTCTCATGCTTGCTTTCCTCAATGGAGCTTGAGGAGTCAATGATCCCCCGGGTCCCTCCCAGCGCTGCAGTTCTAAGATGATGATGATAGCACAGGGGTTTAGGCATCTGGCTGCAAAGCCAGCGGTGGGGAGTTCAATTCCCCCAGCAGGCCTCTTTGATAGGGGCTGGACTCAGTGATCCACAGGGTCCCCTCCAGCTCTACACTTCTAAGATGATGATGATGATGATTTGTATCACATTTTCTTTCCCCATTTAAAAAAAAGTGGGGGTGGAACACGGCCCTGTGTTTTGATGTTTGTGTTCACAGCAGGCGAAACAGAAATAGTACGTACGTACGTACGTACGTATGTACGTATGTACGTATGTACGTATGTATGTATGTATGTATGTATGTATGTATGTATGTATGTATGTATGTATGTATGTAATGTTCCAACAGTAACTGAGCATAAAAGCCAGGGATAGGAGACATTCTGGTGCTGCCTTGTGGCAGATTTCCTGGGGAAACATCTTCCTGCTGTTTATCACAGCCTCCCACCAAGAGTTTGACGTTGTCAAAATGTCTAAATCCAAGGTGATATTGTAAAGAGAAGAGCATCCGATTGGAGACTGTTTTTACGAATGTTGCAGATGGGATGAGAGGGGCATTTTAGCCTGAGTTGGACACCTTCCCCTCCCCAGTCCAGTTTTCCTCTAATCAAGTAGATCTTGTAGATTTGAGGAAATACTACAAAACCCATGGTTTTGATTAACCGGAGATGGGAGCAGAGGTGAAAAGAGCTCCTTTTAAAAGCTAGCCTTTCCAGAGTGCTCACAGCAGCACCATTGTAGCACACGCTGGCTAGCGTATCCTAGGGGTCGGTCATTGAAAGCAACTTGTTATTTTCCCTCGCTGAGCAAAACTGGGATTTAATCAGTCCTGTCCCCTTCAGATTCTGGATCTGTCTCCAGCTTCAAAAGGCAGCCTGGAGCCACCACCGCTGCCTGTGGTTGCTCAGCCCAGCATCCTTTCTTTCCCTGTCTCAACAGACATGTTTGATAAGACGAAGTCTGGACGGATGGACCTTTACGGGTTTTCAGCCCTGTGGCGCTTCATCCAGCAGTGGCGGAATCTATTCCAGCAGTACGACCGCGACCAGTCGGGGTGCATTAATAGCAATGAGTTGCATCAAGGTAGGACTCAAGGGAGATGGTCTCGGGACGTCTGAAGGTGGTTGTGATAAACTGGGAGGCTTTGAGCCTTGGCTAGGCTTAGCTCCACCCAAGCTTCCTGTTCAGAAAGAACACTTCCACTTGGCACCAGACCAGGAGCAGGAAGTTCAGGCATTGCTAGGCCTAGCTAAGCCTCCAAGCCTTAAGTTAAATACATTTTGTTTTCACCCAAGCATGGTTTTCTGCTCACTTTCTCTCTCGGTTGCTTGTCTTCTAGCTCTCTCCCAGATGGGATACAACCTGAGCCCCCAGTTCTCCCAGCTGTTGGTGTCTCGGTACTCTCAGAGAGGCCCCAAACCCGGCATCCAGCTGGACCGCTTCATCCAGGTGTGCACGCTGCTGCAGTCGATGACCGAAGCCTTCCGGGAGAAGGACACCGCCATGACCGGCAACGCCCGGCTCAACTACGAAGACTTCCTCACCATGTCAGCCACTCGCATGCTGTGAGGCAGCCTTTCCTTTTGAGGGACCATGGCTTTCCTGCTGGGAGACGATTGGCATTTCCACCAAAGACTTGGGAAGGAGAGCCACTGTGAAGAAACAGTTGGCCACCTTGTCTAGGGGAGGTTGTGTTATGAAGAGGAAAAAAAAGATGAATTTTCCCTTCTCTGCTTTTTACTTGTGTGATGCCGAATCTACTCACACTTGGGTTCTTTGAGATGCTTATGTGGTTGGTTGGATTTGATCCCCTGGAAGCAGCTGCCCCAGCCAGCCCCTGACAGCAAATCACACAACACTGAGCCAGAATTTGAGTGCCATGAATTTCTACTCTTTCCTCCTTGAAAAATAGCCACATTTTGGATGGTTCTCTGGCTGGGGAGATAATTCCAGGCAGTTGCATCATGACTTCTGCTCCTGAGCTGGCTTTTCGGAGACCTCCGTCTTAAATTGCTAAAAGTAATCCTTGGACACCAGTTCCAAATGCCATGACATAGAGAAATTCCTGAGTTATGATTTCTTGGGCTCTAGGGGCCCTTTCACCTGACTTCTTTTTTGGTGGGGGTATCCTGGTGAACATTCTCCCTTGCCTAAAACATTTTTGCAGTGCTAAAGTACACCTTCCCTTGACATCCACAAAAATATATATATTTTAAGTTGCCAACATTTTTCTTTTTTAGATTAGAGGGGGGCCAAAAACTTGAATAATCATGTGCCAGCATTTACACATTTAGGAAAACTCTTTAATAAAGGACCCTATTCTCTGAGAACAATACAAATGTGTGTGTGTTTTTTCACTTGACTTGAAAAACTCTACAGGATCTTATGGAGGCAAGCAAGGGGACTGGCCTTGTATTCAAAACACCCCAAGGAAGGCTTGGGATACTAATGTAGTATATGCAATACATTAGGAACCCCCTTATCCACAGGATCAGGATCCGCTGATTCACTTATTCACGGTCTGATATATTACAAATATTATCCTACTGTATAACTGTGGGTAGGTCATGCAACTCAGAAAGCATTAAAAACCAATTAAAATGTTGAGATAATTAAGACTACTTTTGACCAGAGGTGGGCTACTTCTATAGCGTTATCTCAGCCATTTGCGAGATCTTTGTTGCATGTGGTGGGTCATAAATTGCAGGAAAATAAATGTCGCATGGATTGAATTTCTCCACAGTCACAGAAAAGTTGTCCTGTATCCAAGTAGCCCAACTTTGCTGGATTATTTTATTCCCAGAAGGGGCAGTTCTTTGGTAGATCAGGTAGGGCTTTGAGAGTTTTATGTATTTGGACTAGGATTCTCCACCGTGGCCATGGGCACGCTGTCTGGGAGATGCAGACCAAAAGCCAGGAGGATGAGAAGCATGAGGTTGAGGACCAGCCATTTAAACAGTGCTGGCGCCTTTCTGCCTATCTATCTCTCAGTTTATAGGGTCTGTGCCAAGCAGAGCCTTTTTCAGCCAGATCCTGCTCCTGAAGGCATGAGTCGCCTTCATGAGTGAACCGTGAGACAGGAGAATCTCTTGCCTTGTAATCGCAGGTGCGTCAGACTAATCCGAGCCCTTTTGAGTTCAAGGGATGCAGCTCGGTGGCTTGGGTCTCTGGCTGTGGAGCTAAAGGTTGGGAGTTTGATTCTCCCCTTTGCTTCCTTGACTTGACAATCCATAGGGCCCCTTCTAGCTCTGCAGTTCAAAGGTTATTCCACCAGGACTCTCCTTATCCACCACCATTATCTACTGATTCATTTATCCATGCTCTGAAAATATTTAAAAAAAATCCAGGAAAAAAACCTATTTTCACATGTATTACCAGAACTGGCCACTACAGACTGTGCTATGAATACTTGTTAGTGAAGGATACATAGCATGGTCTCTGACTTCCTCTAGTGGCCAGTTCTGGTAAAGCAAGTGAAAAAAAAATTTCTGGGTTTTTCCTTTTACCATGTTCTCTCATGTTCGCTATTATCCATGGTTTTCAGTATCCACGGGGGAGCTTGGAACCCATCCCCAGCAGATATGGGGGTCCTACTGCATTATTATTCTCCAAGCAGGTACTAGAGATACCCATGAAATAGATCTGTCTGTCTGTCTCTCTCTCTCTCTGTGTGTGTGTTCTCCCTTCCCATCTGATGCCAGGATCATTATGAAGCTGAATCAGGGCTCCAGTCACCCACATTTGGGTTATTTAGTGGTGCTTTTTTGTATATTCAGATAAGAGGACCTCTTATCCGAAGGATCTGATGACGTTTGGACGCTGGATTTCACTGCCATAGAGACAGCAGGAGGAAGCCATTCTGATTTCTGTTGCAGACACCAGCCCAGAAAGGAGAAGGGAGGGAGGTGAGGAGGCCGCAATCCACCATGCAAATGATGAGATTAACTTTTAGCTTCGGAAGAAAATTGGACTGCTAATTACCCTTTTTGCTCTTAACGAGCAGCTTCCTCATTAGCTACGGTGTGCGACTTCGGCTACAGCTCGTGGAGTGAGGGGAAACAGTGCTTTTAGCATGAAATCGCTGCATCCGTAACACGGCAAATCGCTCCCAGTTGTGTCTTTCCAATAACTTGTGACAGTTTGCGTTTCGGTGCGCCAGTTGTGGGTTGTTTATTTCCTCCTCTTCGCCGGCAAACGTGGAAAGCAGATTCTCTTCCTGGACTCTCTTCCCTCTTCTTCGCTCGGCAAAGACTTTGAGCAAAAGGAGGTGGCAAAAACACTGCATGTTGCAAGCTTGAATTTACAAAAATATTTTCTAAGCCAGCGTTTCCCGTCAACTTTGGAGCCCGTTGCACACGTGTTTCTTAAATTTGAGGGGGGAACCTTTCCTTCTTTTGCTCCCCAAACGTTTTGCCTTTGGGGGTGGTCAAAGATTGGGGAGTTTATCCTATAAAGAATCCTACAAAAATAATAATAAGCGCAACGGCATGTAAGAATTCCCCTTAGGTTTACAACTGGCTTAATGAATTGAGAAATTCTGCACACAAACTCTGTTCCGGGACTCGTAGAGGCTAGGAGGAAAGAACCCTTTCCGCCTTCAGTGCTATAAGTCACAACTAGAATAGGCCTGTTGAGTCAATGGAATTGGTGGAGGTGTTGACTCACCGACGCCCCATTGATTCAATGGGCCTACTCCACAACAACTTGGAATCATTGAATAGTTGAGTTTGAAGGTGCCTCTAAGGCCATCAGTGGGACGTGGTGGCACTGCGGGCTAAACTACAGAAGCCTGTGCTGCAGGGTCAGAAGACCAGCAGTCGTAAGATCAAATCCACATGACGGAGTGAGCGCCCGTCGCTTGTCCCAGCTCCCGCCAACCTAGTGGTTCAAAAGCATGTAAATGCGAGTAGATAAATAGGGACTACCTCGGTGGGAAGGTAAACAGCGTTCCGGGTCTAAGTCCA